CCTGGGTGGCTCAGTGGGTTAAGCCGCTGCCTTCGGCTCAGGTCATGATCTCAGGGTCCTGGGATCGAGTCCCACATCGGGCTCTCTGCTCAGCAGGGGGCCTGCTTCCCTTCTTCTCTCTCTGCCTGCTTCTCTGCCTACTTGTGATCTCTGTCTGTCAAATAAATAAATAAAATCTTTAAAAAATAAATAAATAAATAAATAAATAAATAAATAAAAATATTAATTTGCAATGAAGTCACAAAACTATGGGAAAAATATGTTTTTTTCAACAACAGTATAGAGATAATTGAATATCCACATGGAAAAAAAATTAATTTTATTCCCTTTTCATATTGAACACAAAAAGCCATCCATAAGTAGATAGTAGATCCAAATATCTAATGACAAACAACAAAAAAATCCTTCTAGAAGATAAAATGAGTATTTTCATGAACTTGGAGTAGAGAAAACATTAACCATAAAGGAAAATATGGGTACATGTAAACATTAAAATTATGAACTTCTGTTCATCAAAAGACATCATTAAAAGAATAAAGGCAATATATACAATCAATAAGAAAATACAAGCAATCCAGTTGAAAAATGGGCAAGACCCTTGTATAGGTACCTTACAAAAAGGAATATACAATATCCAGAAAATATATGGTAATTACAAAAAAAAATCAAAGTAAAATCACAATAAGTTCCACTGCACATCCATTAGAATAGCCAGTAAGATTAAAATGATTAACAATATCCAATATTGTTGAGGTTGTAGTGAAAGGGAAATTCTTACACCCTGCTGGTGTGCTATGGTACAACAACTTTGGGAAACATTTTGGTATTATCTACTAATAACAAACATGTGCAATTAAATCTCTGTTGATTCTCCTTCCCTTAAATGTAAAATGCTGTTACATTAGGAGACAGCAAACTGCTTAAAAACTTAGACTCTGGGAGCACCTGAATGGCTCAGTCAGTTGAACATCTGGCTCCTGATTTTGGCTCAGGTCATGGTCTTGGGGTCATGAGATCGAGTCCTACATGAAGCTCCATGCTCAATATGCAATTGGCTTAAAATTCTCCCTCTCCCTCTTCCTTAGCCCCTCCCCCTGATCACACTCTTTCTCTAAATTTTGTAAAAACTCTTAAAAAATAAAACCAGACTCTAGTATCAGACTACTTGATTTTGAACCTTAACTCTGCCAGTTACTAACTTTGCAAACTTCAGCAATTTACTTTATCTTTCTAGACCTCAAACTCTTCATCCTTAAAATGAGGGCAATTTTTAAGTTATATGATCATTTTGGGGCACTTGGATGGTTCAGTTGGTTGTGCAAGTGTCTGTCTTGATTTCAGCTCAGGTCATGATCTCAGGGTCTTGAGACCAAGCCCCAAATAAGGCTCCATGCCAGGCATGGAGACTGCTTGAGAGTCTCTCTCTGCCATTCCCTCTGACCCTCTTGGCCACAAAAAAAAAAAAAAAAAAAAAAAAAAAAAAAGCTATATGATAATTTTAAGGAATAGGTGAATTAATACGTTAAGCACTTGGAATAGTATCTGATTATTGTAAGCACTGTATAAATATTTGTTCTTATTGTTGTTTTTGGCATTTGAAGGAACTGTATACAATAACTCTAGGTTATGTGATTCTCATGAAAATAGGAGACACAAGGAGCAGAGCTCTACTTCTGAGGTCTTGTACAGTTGGAGGGAGGTTATATGTCAAAAGTACTCAGTGTAAGGATGCCTGGGTGGCTCAGTTGGTTAAGCATCTGCCTTCAGCTCAGGTCATGATCCCAGGGACCTGGGACCAAGCCCTGCATTGGGTTCCCTGTTCAGCAGGGAGACTGCTTCTCCCTCTCCCTCTGCTGCTCCCCCTACTTGTGCTCTCTCTCTCTCTCTCTGTCAAATAAATAAACAAATAAAATCTTTAAAAATAAATTAAAAATATAATTTTTTAAAGTACCCAGTGTATAAAAACTATTGATTTTGGGAGAAACACCATGGTGAAAGCATACTAACAAGAGACACAGGAGAAATCTCTAGCAACTACCTTTAAGAGGAAAATGTGGGGAGAAGAAAGACATTAAGAAAGTGGAATGCAATGTATAAAACTTCTCCATACCTCCATAAGTATAATTAGAGTAAAGAGCTTTAATATTATTTAAAACTTCTAAATCAAATTTTGTCATTTTTAGGTATGTTTGCTTGGATGCTTTGTAAAATCTATGGACAGAGAACAACATGTCTAGCAACTGCCAGTTCCATTTCGGTTAAACCTGTAAAATACTTAGTAGTCTCCAATAAACAGAAACTAATACTATAATTCTGATCATAGTCTATTAATTGTGTTATTTTGACTGCCCCCAATTATATTCTAATTCACTTCTGTATGCTCATCACTTAAACCTCTCTGTAAAGGTAGGTGCTCAATCAAAATTTGTAGAATAGATTATCTGAAAGAACTAGGTAGATGATGGGTAAAGAGATGAATTCATAAAAGAAAGAATGAATGCTGAGATTGTTCACATCAACTTTATGGGGAAACATCCTAGAATGATCAGTCATGGAAGATAAATGTTTGCTTATAGTTGGCCTTGTATTTTTCTACTTTGGGACTATTAGTGATTGGGCATGCCTCATTGGGTCCTTGTCCTCACTAGTAGGCAGTGGAGTAGTTAAAAGCTCAGGTACTAGAGGCAGACTGCTTGCATTCAAATTCGGTTCATCCAAAGAGGAATGCATGGTAAAGTGAATGATGTGAAGCCTCGGGGCCCCTGACTTACAACCTCTTCCCAAGTCCTATATCTGTTTTTCATATTTGAAAATTTGCATTTCACTTCTGAAAGAGGTTACCACTACTGTAAAACAAAACTCTGGGACTCCACAAAACATGGATCCAAACTTGGCTCTACCAGTTACTGGCTATGGGACTTGGGCTTAGCATATTTATCTGCTGTGTGCCTCCATTTCTCCATTTGTAAAATGAAATAAAGCTGGCAATCTACTCCACAGCATTGTTTTGAAAATCGAGTAAGTATGTGTAAAATGTTCAGCACAGTGTCATGCACATAGTATGTATTCACTGTGCTTCGGCTTCTTTAACTCCCTTTTTGGTCATTCCTTACCTTCCTCTTTTGTGAGCCCTGTCAGGTCTAGGGTCACCCTCTTTGCAAATTTAGCCTGTGGCAGGCTTCTCTTTAATCCTTAATCCCTTCCCTTTGTATCTGTACGTTCCCTTCTATGAGCCTCTACGGTTGTTTATAAACTGATTTTATCTATTTGTTTTTGGAAACTTACTAAACCTGTTCATTACTTAAAGGACATAGCAATTTTGGTTTCATTTTCTCCCCCTGGAAGCCATCTGCTAGATTAGTTTTCCAAACAACAGCATGGAGAAGAAAATATTATCCTCAAACTTTTGTCATAAATAACATTCTGAAAACTTTCCAACGTACCATCTATAGAACTGCAGCAGTTACTTAGATCTTGTCTTCTCTCTGAAATTTTGATCTTTTCAGATATATTCAACTCCATGAATACTGACATCTATGAGTCAACTGTGGAACAGATTTAGGACATATGGATTTTTGCAGGTGGACTTGCCTAGTTCCTAAAACCAAGCTAAAACCAAGGTTTGTTTGATACTGTTCACCTCCAACCAGATCTTTAATGCAGTGTGGGTAGCAATTGAAAAAATTATGTTGCAGTGATTTATTGGCTTATTAGCCCTTAAGCCATATCAGTTTCTAGAATAAATATCTATTTCTGATTCAGCCGACAATTGTTTAACCAATATATGCAAGCATTTATATCAGGCTAAAATACCCAGGAGTCCTATAATCAAATATACATGATGGAATGAAAGTTTAAAAATATGGATATTCCTACTAGCCTGTAAAGCATCCTCACCGTGTTGCATTATTCTATGGATATCACTTTCTAGGATATCCCTAACCAATATGTGACCATCACTTTAAAAACAATTATTTTTAAACTAATATATATATAAATATCACCATGCAATGCCTCTCAAAATTATGTTCCATAGGCAATAATCAGTCTTGTATGTCAGGAATCTATTGCCTACTGAAGCAACACTGAGGCATCTTGAAGCTCAGCAAAAATTATGTCAAGAATTTAGTACAACATGCCCAGCCGCCTTATCTTCTCTACTCCCCACCTGCCCTTTCCATCTAAACTGTTTGCTATATCATGGGTTTAGGACATGATTTCACCCCCAAGTTTCAAATACACTTACAGCCAATATGGGTTCCAACCTCTTCAACATTTATTGTCCCTTCTCAAACACCAGCTAAATTAGGATTATCAAATAGAACCAAAAACTATGTGTTTGTGTGTGTGTGTGTGTGTGTTCATGTTATAGTCCCTGAAGTTAAGGACCCAACAATCACACACATATTTGTGCCACCCAGTTTTATGGTCTTAATTTCCCAGCATTTAGAGCAGCCCATCTCTAGTTTTCTCTCCTGTTATGATTGGTGGTGGCCCCTAGGAGAATCCTAATCACACTAGCAGTCCTGTGAAATTTCTGAAGAACATCTCCTCTTAAATTTACTATCAGGGGATCAAGCAAATGTGTCCTACAGTTGTGAACTGAAATCTACCACAGTTGTGTTCTCTACCTCTAGAGACTAGAGACGCAGACCGTTTTTAAGGCTACATACAGCAGGCATATGATTATGAGGGAAAAGAAAACATTTCTGTAAGCTAGGAAGGAACTGCTATGTCTTTTGAGGTCCTGGCTATTCTGAGAAACTCTGGTATATTAAGTAAATGAGGAAGGATAATCTAACTCCTCACCTGGACTTGAACACTATAGCTGAACGTTGACTTTTTCAATGGAAAAACAAACTTTAGCTCAACAAGGAAAGAGCATGAGTGAGAAGGATAATTGGGTCATTGACCACATACATCCGCTTGGCAACTCTCCTGCTTCCTTGATCTGCATATAAGGAGTACGCTGGTCACCTGGGACAGTACTTCTCTAGAACATCATATTCTGTCTCCTGCAACATGCACCTTCTCCAGCTCCTGTGGAGAGCCGGCCCTGGCGTCTTGGTCCTTGTTCTCTGTCTACAGCTGGGGACCAACAAAGCTCAGGAAGACACGTGAGCCAAGTCTTTTTCTTCCTCACAAAAATCCCTTCAGGGAGGGCTTCTATCCTAGCCTGGAAATCTATCCCTGAAAACTTTTCAATTTCCCAGATCTCTAGTCCCGGGGATGCTTATAAACCCCAGGTCAAATCCCACTTCTCTCCTCTTAGGAAGTCCTATCAGCTCCCCTCTATTTCCACTGGATGCTTCTAGGTTGTCCATGGAAATATGGCAGTCAGTGTGCATAAAGTCTTTTATTAACAGTCAGTCTTGCTCGATGACTCTCATCTACAACCTATCTATAGTATACACCTTTGTTAGATTTCTGCTCAGTAAACTTTATGTTCTCACAACTTGTCTCCTAGAACAGTAGGTTTAGCAGGTCTGTGATAGCTTTACACAATTTTGGCAGGACTGGTGAAAGGATCAGAAGCCTTGATCATTGATCCTTGACCCCAAAGTCTGAAGTTGAGCTAGCCCAGAAGCTTTGACATTCTTCCTATTCGGAAGCCCTAAGACAAAAGCAAGGACACACCCACCCACCACCCACAGGTACACAGGTTCAGGAGCACAGGTTCAGCAGCCAAATCACTGAGGGTACATATTTGAAGGAAGCAGGAAAATCAGGCAAATGAAGTAGGAAATGCAGCCAGGGTCTGGGAGAAGCAGGGACACTCAGCAAATCTAGAGGGTTTTCTTCTCAGGAATATGGTTTTGAGTGCTGGGTTTTTGGGTTGTGATTCTGATAATACATTCTGTGGCATGTCTAGATAGACTGTCCTGGAGTAAACCATTCAGAGTTTTGACAAGTTGCTATAGTGGAGGCCATTGTCCTAAGAAACACTGAGTAGGGGCAGGTTCAGATACAGATGTCACCCCATGTAGCCCTGAGATGGGACAGCAAAACACTGAAATAAGCTATACTAATTAGAGTGATCAGCCATCCCCATTTGCCCAGGAATTTCTCGGTGTTAGCACTGAAAGACCCTCATCCCAGGAAGTTCCTCACTACCAGGCAAGCTGATCTGATCACTCACTCTGGCTAAACAGGTCATTTTATCAATCCCAAATTCATTTACAGATGAGAGGAATTTTGGAGACACCTAATTCTTCACACCCTTTTCTATGCACTTAACACTAGAGCAACTGGTACAAGAAATGGAATATCTCCAAAATCTGGGACAATGAAGCATTGTAGCAAAAAACCTGAATTTCCTCCTGTCCCACCCAAAGCCAAAAGAGCTCAACCAAGAGTTTTTGGGAGAGAGAAAGTAAGTCTCCTAGTCCAGAACCCAGTTCTCCCTGATGGAAAAATCCTTGACTTCCCTCTGCCTCCATTTCCTTTTCCCATCAGATTGTGGTATGTGGCTTGAAAGTAGGGTATCATCTAAAGTTCCCATGTGTCCAAATTCACTGCAGAGCTAAAGAAATACAAATTCCTAGGCCCAGGAACTAAAGAAGGAGGATCTCAAGGATGACTCTAAAAATTCTTCCAGTGCATTAGGATGTTTATGGTTTAGTATGATTCTGTTGATATGGAATATTCTACTAACAGTAACTTGAGCCCTCCCACATAGTAGACAATCAACAGAACCTGGAGGATTTTATTAAGAAATGACATGTGATATTGTACTTTTATTCTCTTTTATTCTTGTCAGTGGAAAGAACAACGATGCTCAGTTTTAAATAAAGCACCAAAGTTACTTTATTAAACAAAACGGAGTCTGTAGAAAACAACCAAACCAAACAAGGATCAAATATTCCCAAGGGTTCTGATGCTCAGCAAATTATTCATATGCCATCATCCCCTTCCCTTGCACCTTCCCTGTTCCCTCTGTTCTGCTCATTGTGCCCCTCTCTCGTGGACAGATCTCTGATTTCTGCCCTGCTTCTCTCTTCCCAAAACTAGTCGAGAAGTGATAAAAATGCAATTGGACATGCCCTCAAAAGTAAAAGAAAATGAAGAAGTCACTCTGGAGCTTAGAGTTCAAACGGAATTAAAAGAATGTATGGTGGTAAGTAGAGACCTGGGGAAGTAAACTCATAAAGCTCCGACTCCTTAGTTATGAGTACAATTGGATTAATCTCTCACTTTACCATTGCATATCATACCTAATAAAATGCTGAATAGCAATCCTCATGCTCCCAGTTCTCATATGTGTTATGCTACTTGAGCCTCAGAACAATCATCAGACCTTGGGGCAGATTACTATTCTCATTTTACAGATGAAGGAACCTGATCCAGACAGGTGTAGGAAGAATGAGAAGGAAAGAAGGAATGAGTAGTGAGAAAAGCACAGCTAAATGGAAGAACAGAGGAAAAGTGTAGGGACTGGGGGAGAAGAGGTTAAGAGCTCCTCTAAGGTCCTAGACATGATTATTTGAGATGAGGGGTGAGATAGGGGGTTCTTACAAGAAAAACTGCAACCCCATCCAGTGGATTGAGGCAGGTGAACAGAAGAGCTATGTTGCTGAGAACACACAGGGTATGATTCCCTCCTCTGCAGTAAGCTCTGAGAAGAAGCTGTGTTCCTTGTCCCTCCCTCTGCCCTTTTGCTCTACCATCAGAAGTTCACTCTTGTTCCAGCCTCATCTCCCCAACAAAGAGCCCACACTCTCCTCCCTATTTCCTCCAGTTGTGGGAGGGAGTTCCAATCCCTTCACTAGATCAGAGGTTCTCAAAAGGAAATGCATGTAAGACTCACCTGTGCATTATCGCTCCTGTTTGGCTGCTCTGGGCCATCAGGGAAAGGGGTCTGTGCAGGTTTAACCCACAGAGGCTTTTGCCCAGGAGAGTGTGTCTTCTCCTCCCTGCTGGCAGACTTCTCACATGTTGTCACACACACACAATCTGCCCCTTGATAGCTACCACTGTTCTAGGCCCCACTGACTCCTTCCAGAAAGGCACTCTCTCAGGCAGCACAAGCATTTTCCTATGACAGAAGTTTCCTAACTCAAATTATATTTATGTATGATGATTAAATTGGAAACAAAATTGGGAGCATGAAGACTGTTATTCATTAGAATACATTCTAGAAATGGCCCCATACCTGTAAGAGAAAGACTTCTGATCACTGAGCAAAGAACAACACAACTGCTTTGTCAAATTTGTCTGTTTACAGTTCAAGAATATGAACCTTGTATGTTAATAGCGGGTAGGAGGGAAATCATCGTAATTTTTCAATTTTGTTTTATCATAACCACAGATGACAAAAGGAATGAGAACATGTGCATAAAAGTCTTGTGATAATGGTAGTTTCTGGTGATGATAGATAATGAAGTCTGTTTCTACCCCTGAGAAAGTGTTTAATCACATGTGAAATACTTTTGTGCTACTGTAACTTTAAGGACTATGTTTTAAGAACAATGCTAATACAAACAATGAATACTGTTATGCTGAAAAGAAATAAAAAATTTTAAAGAAAGAACAATGCTAATACAATAAAATATGGCAATCTTTTAAAAACCTACCCAAGTACAAGGAATCTCATAAAATAAATGATATTGTAAATTAGAAAGAATTTATGGGAAATTTTCTTAGTTCTGGCCAACCAATTTTTATTTGTAGCTTCTAATATTAAAAATATGTATGGTTGGGGCGCCTGGGTGGCTCAGTGGGTTAAAGCCACTGCCTTCGGCTCAGATCATTATTCCAGGGTCGTAGGATCGAGCCCCGCATCAGGCTTCTGCTCAGCAGGGAGCCTGCTTCCTCCTCTCTCTCTGCCTGCATCTCTGCCTGCTTGTGATCTCTGTCTGTCCAATAAATAAATAAAATCTTTAAAAAAGATTATATGTATGGTTACAAAAACATCATATTTTTAAATTTTTAGGAAAATATTTTTATATGTGTAAAGATTCTAGTATCTATTTTCAATTTTCTAATAATTATACTTTTGCAAATAAATTTTTGATCAAGTGAAGTATTAGAATCACAGATTTAAAATTAAAATCAATTAGGCACACCTGGGTGGTTCAGTCGGTTAAGCACCTGCCTTTGGCTTAGGTCATGATCTTGGGGTCCTGGGATCAAACCCTGGGTCAGGCTCCCTGCTCAGCAGGAAGTCTGCTTCTCTCTCTCCCTCTGCCCCTCCCCCTGCTCCTGCACACAATCTCTTTCTTTCTCTCTCTCTGTCTCAAATAAATAAATAAAATCTTTTTTAAAAATTTTGTATTTGTGGGACGCCTGGGTGGCTTAGTGAGTTAAGGCCTCTGCCTTCAGCTCAGGTCATGATCCCAGAGTCCTGGGATCGAGCCCCGCATCGGGCTTTCTGCTCGGCAGGGAGCCTGGTTCCTCCTCTGTCTCCATTTGCCTCTCTGCCTACTTGTGATCTCTGCCTCTCAAATAAAATCTTAAAAAAAAAAAAATTGTATTTGTAACTGAAAGAGAACTTGTGACAAACCACAAGGCTTAAACATTTGTGGTATGGACCATTTTGCTGGTCTAATGAAGTCTAGGGAACTCTTATCAGAAAATTGCTTTTAAAAGTGTTCCTAAAATGCATTGGATTACACAGGAAAACTACCATGTGGAAAAATAGTGATAGTATTATCATGCCCAGCATAGAGCCTACTTAAAATTTAAAAAAAAAAAACTTTTGAAATAGTACTATTTATATTTCTTTATCAACATATTAGCCAAAAAGTCAATACATTTAAAATATAGACAAGTTAAATTTTATTTTGTAAAAACTAAATTGGAAGGGGAGGTGAACCATGAGACTATGGACCCTGAAAAACAATCTGAGGGTTTTGAAGGGGAGGGGGTGGGAGGTTGGGGGAACCAGGTGGTGAGTATTGGAGAGGGCACAGATTGCATGGAGCACTGGGTGTGGTGCAAAAACAATGAATACTGTTATGCTGAAAATAAATTTAAAAAATTTAAAAAAGGAAAAAAATTTTAAAAAAACTATGTATGGGGTGGCTCTTGTTGCTCAGCTTGAATAAGTAGCTTCAGCTGTGCACTGGGTTTTGACAAGAAGTGGATTCCAATAGATTGGGATTTTTGTTTGAATATTCAAGTGTTGAAAACTCTGATTTATTAAGATAAACTGTTGTAAATGCCATAAGAAGGTAAACCAGGCAAGGGTAGGTTTCTTGAAAGAAACACCAGGATCTTCAAAGTATTCTGAGTAAAATTCCAATGGTGAGAACACCTGAATTAGCCATTTGGAGCTGACAGGCTATTCGGTGCATGGTTGCCAGTTACCTGGGCAAGCTTCAGGAGACAGGCAGATGGCCCCAGCCAGGACCATGCAACCCTGTGTTCAAGGTAGTGATGAATGCAGGCAATATTTTGAGATATATAAACATGTAAATTAATACTAACATACCTATGTTTCTCTTCATGATAAAATCATACACACTGCTAATGCCACTGAGGATCATTGATAACATAACAGAAGGAATACTCAATTTCAGTGAGATGTTGATAAAATAAAGATGAAATTTCTTTCCATCTGAGTTCACTAGACCCGCTGGGTCTATGAACTCTAGGATAACACCCCTGTGCTGAACACTAACCAGACAAAAGCTTCCTGATGCTGCTGAAACTTATGTATCTCAAGTTGTAAAGCCCTCTCAAATTAAAAAAGGAAATTTACCATCAAGATTTCATTTTTTTAACCTTCAGCCAAGTTTGGTAAGTAACTGTTTTCCTCTCACAACCAAGAAAAGAAAGACTGAGAGATGTCACTGCAATCATCAAAAGTCACAGAGTTTGAGAGGAGCGTGGTTCTGGCAATAAGACCTGGTTTTGGCCTCCATACCCAAGAGCTAAGCTGTGGTCACAAACCAGTTCCTGAAAGCCCTAGTTAGGGAACCACAGCAAACTTGCTCTTTAGATGAAGGCTGCCCCAGAATGAGTTCTGCTTGCCCTGTCAATTCACTAATTCTTCCTTTCAGAGCCCAGACCCACAGTGCTGCTAAAGCAGGAATTTGAAGATATGTTGACAGAAAACCTTCTGACTTAAATTTTAGTTCCCAAAATGATACTATGAAAGTGGACTCCACAGTGCCTCTGATCTACATCCATCCCTGCTATTTGCATACAAAGGATGTTGTCCTCATCTTTCTTTGTGCTCTCTTGCCTTTCTCTCCCTTTCCTGCTCCCCAGACTAACACAGGGTCCTCTCTACCCACCTCTTCCTCCACAGATTAAAACTTACCTCCAAGGCAGCCTCCTAATGGATGGTCCTTTTAATTATCTTTACACTGCCTGCCTCTGTGAGGGTTATTCAAGAACTTTCTACTGGGACTTTGAGGTCAATAGTAAGTATAGGGGCTATCCAAAGAAAGAACTATCCACTAGGGCAAGGGAAACCGTAAAGAGAAATGGGACTTTGGATGTGGGGCAGAATGTCAGGACAGAAGGGTGGAGAGAAAGGAGGGAAGAAGAGGGGACAGTGGATGGGGACTATGCCCATGTCTGAAAGTTGAGGAGTTGTGTGAGAAAAGCCCAAGGGAGATACACTTGCAAATGATTTGGGGAAACTGGGCCCTAGTAGGGAGGTGCCTAAAACTAGTAGAAAACCCAGGAAATGGGGTTAGAGTGTTATCAGAGAAGATCTTTGTCCTTTTCTCTTTCAGGAACTATGGCAATAGCAACAGTGGTCCACATTATTGAAGAAGAAGCTATCTGCCCTAATATATCAGTGGTGCCCAATGGAAAAAAATATTATTATACCATTAGGAAAATACAGACAGTCTGATCATGCTGGAAGACCTTGTCTAACTGCCCCCCAGGGTGGTTCCTTTAAAAAAAAATTGGCTGGAGTATCTGTTGTGGTCTATAAAATAAACTTCTCACAAACTTCTCGGTGTTCTGTTATGTCTTCCCTTCCAAATCTATCCCAGAGGAGCCTCAGAGCACCCAGAATTTCTAGAAATTTGTTCTCTCAAAAAAATGTTACTAAGGAGTTTATGGGTTCTCATTGTCCATTGGTAGGAGGAATGAGAGATGAAGAAATAGAGATGACTCACAGAATCTGAAATTCTCTGGGCTCCTAAATATTATGCCCCTTTCCTGTACCCATGCCCTGTGTTTCCTTACTGTAAGGAAAAACTCAGAAAGCTAGGTAATGTCAGGTGTTAGTGGAAAATGAAGGGCTATGGGAGCAATTAAGCACTGTTGGTGGCCTCTTTTGGAGAGCCATCTGACATTACATAATCAAATTGATTCTGCAGATACCATATGACCCATCACCTCTACAACTAGAAATGATGGTAAGAGACCCTGGGCTCCTAGGCCAATATATTCTAGCTATCAAAGAGAAAGCACCACTGAATAACCATTGTTCTAAAATATATGACACATCTTGAACAACATCACCATAACCCTAAATGGTGTGATCTCCGAGCTATCTCTTTAGTTGCTCATTTATGAGATTTTCCCCACATGTTGTAGGTTACCAGTAATTTCCTGATGATGCCATTAATGGCAAGCTGGTAGATTCTTTGATCACGTGCCCATTGCAACTCTTTCATGAAAAAAAAAAAAAGATTCCCGTAATCTGAAGAGATATTAGATGAGATTCCATGTCTAGAAATCAGATAGTCTTTAAGCCGTCAGATGGCAGTGCTGGCCAAAACACTGCAGACAAGAAGGATACATCCATATCTAGAATATATATCAACCTCAGTAGAGATGAACTATTGCCCCCTCAAGAGACAAAGGGTCCAATGAACCAATGTATTCTCCAAATGGTCTTCCCACTGTTGAGGTCTTAGCATTTGTCTCTGGGCTGAAAGGTTGGCAGCCACATCTAAATCACTTATGGTGAGAGGCACATGCACAATGTCGATGATCATTACCTCACTGGCCATCACACAAGCATTGGAGTAGCTAAGAACAGAAGCTGCCTTACAACCATTGAACCAGTCATCCTACCAAACTAATTAATTGTTCAACGTCTCCTCTGTGTCAGATTCTTTCTTATGAGCATTAACATGAGACACAAAAAACCACATACTTTGTAGCTTATATCCCTTGGTTCATCCAGATAGCCAACTCATTTATGAACCATACCTGGGTGTTTTATCTCTAAAACCCAGTTATAAGAACTCCCCCACCCATGAAGCTGCAGGCCAATCTTAAGGAAGAGTGTTAGTGCAGTGGGAGTAGCTGACATGAGATAGGAACCACAATTTTTCTGTAACTTAAGACCTCTGGACCAAGTTGGATCCAATTGTAACTATGCTATTTCCATTGTATGATGAATTGCTGCTGTACCCACCCAAATTTATAATTTGTGGATCAGCCAATACCTAAGTCATCATGGGAAACTCTGGTCCCATAGTTACTTGGTGTTTCATGGTCAAGTTTTAGGTCTTTATAGTGCTCATGTGCTCCTTTAAAAAAAAAAAAAAAGTTCTATGCTGCAAATGATATGGCTGTACTTCAGAATCCTATCGGTCTACTCTGCAACTCTCCTCCTAGGTCTCACCAGAGACTATACTCAGTGTCTTTAATCTACCATAGGAAAGATGAAACACATAGCATATAGGATATGCCAAGTAATACTGCCAAAATAAAGGGGACTTGGTTTGTTCAGACTGCCATAACAAAATGCCATAGGCTGGGTGGATCAAACAACAAAAATTTGTTTTCTCACAGATCTGGAGGCAAGAGGGCTAAGATCAAGGTGTCAGCATGGGTTCTTGTGAGGGCCCTCTCCCTGGCTTGCAAACAGGCACCTTCTCACTGTGTTCTCAGGTGGTGAAAAAAGAGGTCTGGTGTCTTTCTCTTCTTATAAAGGCACAGTTCTATCTTAACAGGACTCCACATTTATGACTTCATTTAACCTGAATCACCTCCTTAAAGTCTCTATCTCCAATACAGTCATGAGCAGAAGGGTGAGGAGGGTTACGGCATCAACATATGAATCTTGGAAGGGACACAATTCAGTCACAATAAATAAACTTTTTTCTCATGCCAAAGTTTGACCCTGTTACAGAAACCCTTTTTTGCTCTGATACCACTCAAAACTGGTGTCTTTTTGAGTCACCCAATAATGTGACTGAATGTGTCATTCACAAGTATAGTAAATACTGCCTCCAAAATCCAAAGTCTTCCAAGTATTATGCTTCTTTTATAGTGGTAGTTTATTCAAGGTGCTTTCTGGAAAAAATATTCTAGGGGCACCTGGGTGGCTCAGTCAGTTAAACATTCAACTCTTAATTTCAGCTCAGGTCATGATCTCAGGGTCGTGAGATCAAGTCCTGCACTGGGCCTGCTTGGGATTCTCTCTCTCCCTCTCTGGAAAAAAAAATTCTAGCATGCCCCAGACCAATGAACCCCTTAAAACTTCACTGGTGGGGTAGTCACTTAAATATGTGCATTGTATAGGTGTCTTACTAGAATATCAACAGCACCTGCTACTTCTTGCTCAGCAGATCCAATTAATAAAATATCATCAAGATGTGGACCTGTAGTCTGTTCAATGTCAGGATTATCAAGGTACCCATATTATAACAGGCATTAGGAAAATTAGGAAAATTAATATAGTACAATGGTAAAACCATGAATATGTATGACTGTCCATCCAGGCAAATATAAACTGCTCTTGATCTTTTTATTTGATGAGAAAAAAAGGAGCATTAATCATATCAGTAGCCACAGAGGAAGTGCCAGAGACTATACTTATATTTCTTGTGAAGATATCACATCTGACATGGAAGAGGTCAAGAGACTTTTTTGTGTATCTATTCATTTGCTTGTTTACAGTAGCCAAGCATGGCCCATTTTCATACATTTGACTTTGCATGAGCCAGACTGCTGAAGTAATAGAGGTATAATTCTGATCACCACCAACCATCTTTTAATTTTTTTAGGGTGGCACTTTCCTCTACCATCCCACTAGAATGAACTGTGACTTACTTTCTTAGCTTGGGGATGAAATTTCACCAGATCCCGCTTAACTGTTCCAATCACAACAGTACTTACTTCACAGATCAGGGAACCTATGTAAAGGTTCTGCAACAGTTTATTATATTCATCAAATTATACATTTAGGGACCAGAAAAGTGACCACAGCATAAGAAAAAATGTACTCACTGTGAGATGAACTTTGACCAGGACCCTACTTATCTCCTGGCTTCCATAGGTCTCATTATACCATGGAGGCATGATAGCATTTTGGTGTTACTCTCAGCTTAAAACCAGCATCCAACATCCTCAAAAGAGTGGTAGTTCCTCATTCTCCGGATGTAATTATTCTGGTGAATGACCAGAAGTTTCTTTGAAGAAAGACTGAGGTAATATATACTACAAACACATGTTGTGGTGTTGCAGGTCACTTCCTCAAGGGGACCCAGTCTCTCTTTGAATCAGTAGGCTCTGAGAGCTAATTCTGGTCTGGAAACTAGAAGGATAATGATTTGCCATTATGTTTGCCAACATCAGCCTTCTGCTTATTCAGTTGAACTTTTTGTATATATAAGTTAAACAATCCCCTGCTGTCTTTCCACACATCCTTCTCCTATAAACACCATGGTCTATTAGCCATCACCAAATATACCTGTTGGTGAAAGTTCCCATTATAATTTTGGCCTTGCTGCCAGTTACTTTAATTATGATACCCTTGCCTCCAACAGTGAAGTGCCAATTCCAGGCCTCTGCTAGTTCAGAATCTTATAAATCCCACTGATACACAGAAATGTAGATCTATAGAAGCATTTCTACTCTACCCCAACCTAGAGAGGACTGTCACCAATGAACTTATTAAAAATTCCAGTGCCCCACCTTCCCACTATCATTCCTTACTGTTTTACCAATGGGTATGTCTTTTGGGATTTCTCAAGTAGTAAAGTCAGCTAATTGATTCTCTGGCCTTGAATAATACCTCCACTCTGGCACGCTCTCTTCCATTAGTCTATTAAATTCCTAAATACTATGACCAGAGTTTGAGCATAACCACATTATTTTCCTCAGGTCGCCACATTTCCAAACTCTAGTGGCCACCCCAGCAGAATATCAGACTAATTCCAGATATTCTTTGCCAGGTACTTAAATTCTGAGTCTTGGGATAGAGCCTCTCTGTAAGCACCTTCCAAAATCCCAAATCCCAATGATCCCTACCCCTGACATTCATCCTTTTGTGTAATTCCTTTCCCTTGAGAGCAAGCAGGGAGTAATGACTTCCTTCTACTCAATGGAAAATAGCAAATGTGATGAGATGTCACTTATCTAGTCAAGCCCTGGAAATCAACAAAAGCTTAACAGGAGACAAAACAGTGAGAGCAACCTGCAGTTTGGTGCTATTGCAGCTCTGGAAAATACCTGGTCTCACCCAACTCAAGCGCCAGGCAGCTGCAGACTGGCCCACTAACAATAAAAGGACTAAACAGACAAAGAAATCCATTGCAGACAACTGGACTATAGGCAAAAGTGGCTCAGCCACAATGAGAGTGGGTGCATACATTTGTAGGTACACCCTACAAATGAGAGTACAATACACAGGAAACAACCTGAAGTGCCAGGTTCTGGTAAACAGGGGACATTGCACCACAGGGCACTACAGGACTTCTTCTTCATAAAGCCACTACTTTGAAGAGCAGGAAAGATAGCTGACTTTATTAACATAGAAACACACACAGAGTATTAGACAAAATGAGGAGACAGAGGAGCATGTCCCAAATGAAAGAATAGAAGAAAAACACAATAAGAGAGCTCAACAAAATGGAGATAAGTAATATGCCAGATAGAGAATTTAAAGTAATGGTCACAGGGGTGCTGGGTGGCACAGTTGGTTAAGCATCTGACTCTTGGTTCTGCTCAGGTCATGATCTCAGGGTCATGAAACTGAGCCCTACATCA